GTATCTTTGGCGGTAGTATATCCGACGTTGATTCACAGCACACATATGGGTGGGTGTTTGTGTATATACTCACTGCTTCAGCACACACCCTCCTCCATATTCATCCATCCATCTTCCTGTTCGGAGTCACAGGGCCCTACATATTCAGTGAGGGCTGTATGGCATGAAAAATATATGCAATAATTTAACTCCACTATAAAAGGCAGCCTTGTAGCTCCCCGATTCTGCAGCCCTATGTCTTAGAAATTCTCGAAAACATAAATATGAAGCCGCTGATAAAATCTGTCTTTGGTATTTAATCATTTACTGACTGGTTATTGTGCAGATGAATAAAGTGGCGCTTATAACATTCCTTAGTAACAAAAGCAGAGCCGTTCCTGAAAGTCTTTCGCTGCTGGCCACATATTCAGGTCCATAGCTGCTGTGAAAGTCACCGCTTCTGGGTCATGAGTTCAGATCTTCAGTCCTCCCTTTGTTTGCGTGCCTTTCAGCTGGAGTCTCCCTTGTCCCACAGTGCGGGAAGTGCGCTGGGCCCCTAATATTGCCCTTAGTGTTACAGTGTCTCCTGCATTGGTCTGCCATCCCATTGAGGGAGCCCCCGTCCTCGTGGCCTGGACTGCCTGCCAGGGGCGTAACTAGAAATTCTGTGCCCCCTGACAAAATACTGCTTCGGCCCCCCCTCTTCCTCCCACCCGCCCAATCTCACACTGGCCCGACCCAGCACTTTTAGTATCTGTACCCCTGCTGCGCCCCTCTAGTCCTGCTGCGCTGTCCAGGATGAGAACAGTATCAACAACAATACAATATAACACAACAATAACAACAACAATACAATATAACAACACAACAATAACACCAATACAATGTAACAACAATAACAACAGTATAACAACAACACAACAATAACACCAATACAATGTAACAACAATGTAACAACAATAACAACAGTATAACAACAACACAACAATAACACCAATACAATGTAACAACAATAATAACAATAACAACAGTATAACAACAACACAACAATAACACCAATACAATGTAACAACAATAATAACAATAACAGTAGAATATAACAACACAACAAAAATAACAACAACAATATAACAATAATGTGAAATTACTATGAGAATCCAATCATTTTCTGACTAAATTGAACTTTACCTAAAACACTGCTATGTAGAACATAATTGCTGAGCGATCTGAACCGCTACAGACTTGTATAGTTTGTGTTCAGGTAATATGATCAGGTAGAGTACAGGTGCAATTCTGTAATGGTCTCCTTCATCCGGGGGGTGGGGGGTGATGGATGGTCCATTTAGCAGCCCTCCTGGGTCACTAGCATTGACGCATCTTCTGTCGCATTGATGTTCTTTCTGGACAGCAGGATGCCGTGCTTTTGCCACGAGGAACAAGGAAGAGCTGCTTCATCCATTCAGACGAGAGCTCGGCCCCGGGGGGGGCGGGCCCTTGTAATGCTTGTTTCACTGCTTGTAGTCGTGACAAGCTGGTATATATGAGCTGCACATCGCAGGTGACACGGGGCTTTCTTTTACAGTGGTCTCTGTGTCACTGCAGTGAAAAACAAAACGTCTTACTCTTCAGTCACTTTTCCTATTTAATGTTGTTGCCCGTGACAGGTTTATTGAATTCACCTGTCCTTTTTTATCTCAGATTACTTCCTTATTTCTGCCAATATAAAAGCTGCACATTGAACAGTATATATACAGACACACACAATTTCACACCCCATTCCAGATTGCACCAATCATCCCATAATAATCTTTATGTGTCATACATCTAAAAGACTCCAAAATGAATTAGTCCATCTCATTCTCTCTCTATATATAGCCCACCTCAATTTGTGTATTAGTTTGGTATCACCAAAGGTTAATATAAGGCATGGTTATATACGTATATAACCACAATCGCTAAACCGATATAAGCGTACTGCAGTTTTCTTCTGTGGCGTGAGGCATTCCCGAACTGCACTAACCCGTGTCAGCTGTTGATGATATAATTCACAATACTTTATGCACATTTATATTGAGATGCAGTCCGTGTAAATCGTTTTCACACCAGGTTTGTAGTTTTGCAGTCAAACTGAAAAGTAATCATAACGTATGTGACTGAATTGAATTACCCACGGTGCACCTGTTAGCTAAATACATCTATTAAACATACTTTCTAACAATGCAATCAGCCCAACATCAGGTTGTATTTAAACTCCGATAAGTGTTTAAACTGAAATATATCTATTTAACATCCATACATACATATATACATACATCTGTATTTTATATTGTTTGTAACTGGAGTATCCAGATTATCGAAGTCAATGCAGAAAGCACATGTAATTACCTACCTACTTTGTAAAATGTATAAATATTCCTGACTACTCAAATGAATAAAACAGGGACCCAATAGGCATCAGTTTAGTTTTCAGTCAAAATGTAACAAAATCGATTCTAAGTAAAATATAAAGAAGCAATATTTCATGTAGTGGGGTGTGAGTCATGGGGAATTTACAGTTTAGCGGGGGATGTGTGTGTATGTCGGGGGTGTGTGGGGGGTGGGGGGTGGTGGGTAATGACTTACTTCACAGTTGGTGAATCCAGATTGTAGAAATGAGGATGTTCTTAATGTCTTTATGATTGAGAGGAGTCAGTGGAACGTGCGGTCTATTGCATGCTGGGAAAAGATGGAGATATGATCAGACTAGGAAACCTTAATATGAGTTTAATTAAAGTTTCTTGTTTGAACATGGCAGGCTGCAGTGAGAAGCGCGGTGTGGATGTGTGCTGAACGCACTGCCGCATCTTTTACCGTTAACTGCGGAGTCCGTTTCATACGAGTCGTAAATTACACGACAGACGCTGGCAGCTGGGGGGGGGTCACTTCTCAGCCTCGCAGTCTCATCTGTCAGCGGTGGCGGGAATCTGTTATCGTATCACGTGGAGCAAAAAGTGTAGCGATTCCAACCGGTATTATTACAGTGGGCAGCAATGATCCAGAATCTTCCACAGTGGGACCAGGAGCTGAGCAGCCTCCCCAGAGATATAAGGTTGCCGCCACTTTGCTTATGAGGATGAGTGCGTTGGTTTCTGTTCTTCTTTATCTCCGAATGGCTTGTTTGTGAATATTGAGTGAAGCATTATGTTTTGTGGGCATCTCCAGGGAACCTTGAGCGTTTCTTTGGGTAGGTATGTGGTCACCAGGGAGTTGGATTTACGGGGTTTACGGTACGTGACTCTGGATGGTCCCTGCGTAGAGGCAGCCTCGATAGCATGAGCTAAGCCTCGTCATAGTAACCTCCCGTGGTTCATTGACATTCCGCGATTAGGGGTTGGGTTTGAAGAACATCCAAAATCAGCATTCATAACGAATGTCTCATGTCTGCCTAACCCTACTACATTTCCATGGCGTCCTGGATGGTGGCTCGCAGCTGGCTGGGCGTAATTCATTAATGATTTCTTAATGATGGCATTAGCAACGTAACTGACAGCCGGGCTACTCTCTGGCAAAGTCCTCAATTGGAAAATGCGATATGAAGTCTTGGCACCGGAGTTGTGCTAATTACCTGGATTCCACTCGCCTCAGCTGGACGAAATTGTGACACTTGGATCTGCTTGGCACAACAAACGAGCCTCGTCGGCAGACGCTCAGACGCCCGCCACGTTGCCGCCGTGTCTCTGAAAAGACTGACGCCACACACACACACTGTTGTCACCCTCCCCATGACCACGGACACAGGTCCCAAACTGGCAAGAATGTCCCGCCCCTACCTGACCCCCCGACCACTGGCAAATCCACTGACACCAAAATCTCCCTGAACAGCAGTGGCAGACATAAAAATGAGTTGCCCTTTATTGAGGGAAGTACGGTAATCCTAAGAGCAGCGAGACCATTACGCTCAGTTTGGGACGGTCTTTCCGAGTGCAGCTGACAGGACCCCCCGTTCCCCCCCTTGTGCCTTCACAAGAGACGCTTAAAGTAGCCGGACACCTTCAAACATCTCGTCATGTTTCACACTTGGTATACATGATGCCTTTTCCAATAGTCACAGCTTTAACATGGAATACGGTTTCATGTTAGTATCTGATCCGCAGCCGTTGTAATCACTGAGGATAGTGACGTCAGCCACATAACTAGCTGCCTCCAGCTGGCCACCGGAGACGGGTTGGGGCTTGAGGCTTGTTGAAGTTATAAAGTTCAACATTTCCTTATGTCTTATAAAATCTTGTGCTCTGCGTCGACCGATGGTGGATAAAACGCCAACAAAATATGAGTTTAAATTAAAATATAAATCAAATGAACTGAGAGTGATGTAGTAATAGTGGCGTTCGTTCATTTCCAAAGCTTATGAATAAATGGCGAACTTCTGCATCCATTCGGATGCCGTCGAGAGGAAAGCAGTCGCACATCCTATAACGGTAGCTCTTCCAGCCTCTCCGAGCCTCAGTTTTTGCATTTTTAATAAGCAGACTTCAGTCTCGTTTGGAGAGACACTGCCTTCCCCTCACTTCCCCCCCCCCCAAAAAAAATATTAATTATTAGTAATATATTTGTTTATAACCTTAAACAACATTACAGCATTAGCATTGACGTTAGCATTCGCATTGACGTTAGCATTAGCATTGACGTTAGCATTAGCATTGACGTTAGCACTAGCTTTGACGTCAACGTTATCACATCATAGTGGTAGAACTGAAGCATGCGGCCATCTGGCTACGAGCTGGATTAAGATACATGCTTAGGCTGCCCTCCTTCCTTTTTTGGGGTCGCACCTGGCAGGACGGCATGGTTGCTGCGGCCGGGCCCTACAGCTGCACTCGTGAAAGCCCTCCCTCTGAGCTGTCATGACGCAGGCATTCGGCACAGTAGCTCTAGGACGCAGTCCGGCCTGCCCTGTGGTTCGTGTTTAATCCTCTCTCTCCTATTCTTTCTCTCTGTCTTTCTCCGCCTGCTCTACATCTGTCTGGCTATGGCTGACTTAGGTGACTATATCGGTGGATGGGATTCTCACCACCACGGGCTACACCCAAGAGGACTACACCATGCTCGGGTCCGATGATTTCTTCTACATCGGGGGGAGCCCCAACACGGCGGACCTGCCCGGGTCACCCGTCAGCAACAACTTCATGGGCTGCTTAAAAGATGTAAGTGCGAGACTGGCCGGTGCCCCACCTGATGTAAGTGCGAGGCTGCCCGGTGCCCCGCCTGATGTAAGTGCGCGGCTAGCCGGTGCCCCGCCTGATGTAAGTGCGAGGCTGCCCGGTGCCCCGCCTGATGTGAGTGCGAGGCTGGCCGGTGCCTCGCCTGATATATATGCGAGGCTGGCTGGTGCCCCGCCTGATGTAAGTGCGAGGCTGCCCGGTGCCCCGCCTGATGTGAATGCGAGGCTGGCCGGTGCCCCGCCTGATGTGAGTGCGAGGCTGGCCGGTGCCCCGCCTGATGTGAGTGCGAGGCTGGCCGGTGCCTCGCCTGATA